TTCATAAGGACTCAAAGATTAGACCACCATGACAGGGTTGTCACATCACATAAGTCTAGGAGGAACCATTTACAAGAATGCAATTCTTATATCATATCCCTGGCCACAAATGCTACCTGCCTCTAAATTTTCTTAAGATCATACATAAAGTAGAATAATCAGAGCTCTTCTACTGAAAGATACTTTCCCACATAGCCAGGAGAGCTTCCAGTATAAGATTCAGGTAAATGCTTCCCTGAGAGTTAATAGGAAGTCTGACTAATTATTTATAACTTTGTGTTAACTGGTTTAATCATTCCTCTCCCATATACATCTAAGTCACTGAGCAGATGGATGTAAGTAAATGGATGCAAGTAAGGAAGAATGGATGATGGAATTTTAGAAATGTTGAGTCTGTAGTTGAGATGGGGCCTGAGGAGGAGCTGCAGTGGGGGGCTTTGGCAGCCAAAATATGAAAAGGATCATAGTGTGCATAGAGGGAAAAAAAGTATTAGGATGCAGGTGAGGGGAAAATGGGAAAGTTAAAGGAAGGTAAAGAGAAAGAACTGTAAGTGGGATCCAAATACAACTTGCAAAATATAGCCTAAAGCAGACTATCTACTTGGTATGAGAGTTTGTAACAGGATGAATAAAAATAAATCATCTCTGAACCCACAAGTACAGCAGTTACAAGTTTCACAGCCACCAGTGCAACTGTCATTTCAGTCTATTAGATTTCCTTCCTCCTCCATCGTCCCTCCTTCCTCAGTTACTGCTGGGGGTGGGGGTGGGGGTGAGTGGGTCCTGTCTCCCTGTGTCTTGCACTCAATTCATCCATTCAAGACATTTGTGTATTATGCTAAGGAAAGCCCTCTCCATAAATTCTCTCCCCTGGAGTGTCTAGAATACCAACCTCTTACAGCACTGGTGGGGTTAGAAGGGATGGGGTTCTCAGTCAGTCCTTCAGCCTGATGAGAGGCTAGCAAGATGATGAGACTCACCTACACCAAGGCTAAATGTCAGTTTCTTCATGAAAGCCAACATTTCTTTTTTCCTTGAGCTTCTTGGTACTATAGTTTTTCCTCAAGAAACATTTCAATATCTACCTTATAATTTCACAGTTATTTGCATATCTCTGCTCTGCTGAGCCCTTTGCCTGAAATGCCCAACCTGCCCTGACTTAGCTCCAGAATCAGCTGATCTTTTGTAGACTTTCTCTCTCCACATGTCCCAGTTACACCTGAGTCTGATGTCATTGTTTCTCTCCCTCTCTTGGGCACAACTTTAGTCTCATTTAATTATTGATTTATTTCTTTATCACTCTCACTAAACCACTGTAAAGCATTTAGTTGAAATAAACAAACACAAACCAAAAACACCACAAGAGTATCTCCAGCCTCTGATGTAGTGCCTGCCACTCAGGAAAATCTCAATAAATGATGAATAGATACTTGATTTTCAGTGGGTAGGAATCTTTAAGAAGAGGACTGTATCATTTTCTGTATTCTTCTCAGAGCCACATGGTGCTCTGCAAAATTAGAAACCACCAAATATTTGCAAATATGAGAATAATTATGAATTGTATCAGAGTAGATACTATACTTGTAGAACTAAATACAAAAGAAGCTGAATAAAAAGAAAAAAAATAGAATGCAGTGGGGTATCAACAAAATGTGAAGATGTGGTCAGATGGGAAAGGAAGTGATGGCTAAAGAGAGAGTGAGAATAGAGGAATAGCAATACTGGCAGGGGAAGAGATCAACTTAAAAGAATGATCTGAAGGAGGAAGATTTTGATTTTTTTTTTCTGTAAACTGTCCCCAAGAAAAAAAGGTGAGGAAGCCAGATAAGAAGCTTTTTAAGTAACCCAGCCTTTTGACAGTAACCCATCACTAGGCAAATTATGGGTTGATTGTGAAATCAGTACAAGAATGCCAGTGTTGATGTGACATTGAAATTTGTGCAGACTCTGGGGAAGTAACATGTCCTATAAATGGCACATGATGGAGCTATGTAAATACAGTGGCTTCATGCTCTTGGTCAGAAGATAGTGGCTTAAATCTGAGTGATTTCCCTCACCAATCTTACAAACACACCACCTTTAGACTTTGAATCTAATGAATAACATGGAAGATCAAACCTGGAATGCACTCCAAGGAGAATCCAGATTCTTTTAGAAGAGATGTATATGTTAATCATAGATTCCCCTCAACTCTCACCCAAAACCCTTGGGCATCAGATCGTACAAAGCATTTACATTGTTGCTTATCTGCCCAACACTTCTGAGCTCTGTGTATCTGTAGTAATACTTCTTGAGTTTCCAGGACTTTTAGCACAACAGTATCAGAAGTGAAAGGACGCTACAGATCACAGTAATCTTCCTGGTTGCCCATGCACCCTATCAGTTTTTCCCAGTGATGAAACAGAAGTCCATGACCTTGTACAAAGTCATAAAGGTGACTATTAGTGACAGTGTTGCCACTAGAAGTTAACTGATTTTCATGCAACCAGTCTAATTATAATGAATCCAAGGCCTTCGTTTCAGTCACAATGCCTAGATTCTCATCCTTCATTCACTGAAATGTACTCTGAAAAAAAAACTCATGCCTTTAGTAGGAGCGTCTTTATAAATGTAAAAGATTTGCTTTGTTATTTTGGAATAATTTCTACTTGGCTAAGAAAAACTGATGACCTCAATACTATATAATACACAGAATAAAACCAAAAATGTATCATCCTATACTGGCATACATCGAGAAATGGCTATTTATATCATCTGCATGTGATTACATTTATTTTTAAAAAAACAGTTACATACATACAACCCTCTATATCTTATTCTAGTTAGATATAAAGGTAACATCCCTTATGCATACATTAGTGGTCAGATTTTATACATTTTAAAATCCTCCTCATTAATGTAGCTGTCATTTTTCTATGAAATAGGATAAGATTTTCATATTTTATTACTTCAAATTTTTATTTCAAATCTTATTGAAAAATCTCTTTATTCTTAATAAGTTTTTATAATATAGCACTCATGTAGGATCGTGAAAATGAATATATGAACAAAATAAATCCATTAAGGAATTTTTAATACTACTTTCCTATAAACAACTTTGTGAAGTATAACTGAAGTATAATAAAGTGAAAGTGTTTAAAGTGTACAATTTGATCATTTTTAATATACGTATACTACTTTTAAACCATCACTGCAAGCAAGATAACAAACATATCCATCACTCTGCAAAGTTTCCTTCTATCAAGAGTTCACCCTGTCCTTAGGCACTGATTCTTTTTCTCTTTATGTTAGTTTGCATTTTCAAAAATATTGTATAAGTGAAATAATAAGTACTCAATAAGTACTTTTTTGGCTTGGCTTTTTTTGCTCTGCACAATAAATTTGCAATTCATCCATGTGGTTGCACACCTTAATAGTCCATTCATTTTTATTATTGAGCAGTATTTCATTGGGTAGTTAACTAGAATTTGTCTATCTATTCACCTGTTGATGGACATCTGGGGTTTTTTTGGGGGTGGGGATAAAAAACAGTCCTCCACTTCCTTCTGCTCAGTGTCCTTAAGAAAATTATTAGTCACTCTGATCCTCATTTTTCTCCTCTTTAAAAATATGAGTTTAATGTCTATCTCATAGGAGTTTTGTAAGGATCAAACAAGCTCATTGCCTGGCACATAGTAAATACTCAATAAATATTAACTTCTTTTCTGAGTTATCACACAGTTGCCTTACTGGTATCAATTATGAGGTAACACTTTTCCTCCCATTGAAATGCTATTATTCTTTTCTAATCATTTTAGTGTACACTCTGCTTGAACATTACCATGATGCTAGCCCCATTGTCCAACCAATGTAGGGCTACCAATACAGTTGGCTCCTTAAAATATAATCCTTCTTTTGGATTATGTTGGTTTCCATAACTGACTGGTGACAACTTTTTCTAATATTGTACCCATATGCCCACGCTAGCTGTGAAATGGCTGCATAGTTAAGACAGGGAGACAACATTTAGGCTAGAAGAGGTTCTGTTTCTAGAGACTTAGAAGCTGTATTTGCTTTGCAAATGTTTTATTTTAACCAAGTAAATGTTTCCATTTGAGGAACTTGTGGGGAGGGGCAGCTGAAAAGGATTATGGATTTGGGAAGCAACCAAAAGCCCTCCTGGTCCACCCACCCAATTTATTTCCTTTGTTTTCTTTTTACACATTATTATTTTCTCACAGCCACTCCTTTAAAATATACCCACACTGAATTTTCCTGCCCAAATAGGACGCCTTCCATTAAAATAAATGTAAATAAATAAATAAACAGTGTTGATTTATTGATTTTCTCTTTCTTCATATTCTTCATAAATATTATATCCAACTAAGCTACTGAATCTAGTTCAGTTGGCAGATGGCAATGGACAAAGGAATTTTAATTTTTCCCTGTTGGCCACTGTAAGTGAAGTTGAGGGCTGGGACTCCGTACCATGCTAATGAGGCCAAGCCGACGTAATTTGGTAGTCAATGGGACTAGTTTGGTTTGCTCTAAAGCCAGTTTTACTCACTTAAATTTGACCTTATTCACATAGGTCTTGTTCACCAAAAAAGGGTGCTGGTGGTAGTGTCTGGAGATGGGGTGGGATGAAGTAAATAGATCAGTGATGTCGTGAATGAAAAGAGCATATACCCTGAAGATACTTAGTTGACAACATCATTTCTTCATAAGGAAAACTGTGTCACATTGCCATTAGGAATTCCTTAATCAAATTAAGGAACTACACAGAATTTGAGTGTGTGCCTATGAATTGAAATCCTCTGGCTTATATACAATACTGTCCAAATACAGAGGTCCCAATTGATAAAAACACTATGAAGTAACTACCTTTTCTTCAGCACTCAGAGGTGGAGACTTTATTTCATCTTTGTACATTAATGATTAATAGGGATGTGTGCTCCACCTGGAGTTTTTCATGAAAAAGTATATATTTAGAATAATATAATGCTTTTATATTTCATCAGGATAACACTGTAATATGCAGAAACCTACAAATTCTGATAGCTCTGCGGAAACACTGAATCCCACCCGCCAAGGCACCGGAGCTGTGCAAATGAGAATCAAAAATGCCAACAGCCACCACGACAGGCTGAGCCAAAGTAAATCCATGATCCTCACCGATGTTGGGAAGATCACTGAACCCGTAAGTCAAATACCTCAAATATCCAAGTTCCCTGAACGGAATTTTGTGTTAAAAAAAGGGGAGAGAGAAGAAAGCTAATTAGCTTTGTTTTATTTGTTTTCCTAATGTGCATGAGAATACTGTTTTTGTAATGCACTTTATCTTGCCTACTTATAGTCATAATAGTATCCCCAGTTGCGAGAGAAGAGCTGGGCTTAATCCAGAGTGATAAAGTAGATTTGGAGCTAGACTGAAGAGCACCTTTGACTCATTTTAAGGGCCTCCACTATCATGCTTCAGTGTCATAAAAATAATGAGGTTATGCTAGCATGTGGTGTTTGTACTTCCAAATACAGTACATCACTTTGAAAAGCCAGAGGCTAAAATTAGCTAAGAATAAACTGAGAAAAAAAAAATCTTTAAAAAAAGGTAAAAAGCTCATCCTTAAAATCTCCTAATGATATATGATATTAGAAATTACAATTTGATTTGGAATGAGCTTAAACAGTTGAAATGTTGTGGCCGTTTAAGGTTTGGAGAGGAAGCCATTTTGTCTCCATAATGTGTCATTAGGAAGATTTGAAATAAAATAGTTAGAGATGAACTCTACTGCCAATTGTGTCCCTGCCCCTGCACGCATCCTGAGCCACTAAACACACTGATTGCGATGAGTCTCCTCTGGTTAATTTTCTTCCATAATGGTGGTAACTTGCAGCTGAGGCCATAGGATGTTACAAAATTATTTATGCAATGCTAGCCACTCTTTTGGACCCTGGCTCTATTTTGTTTCTCACAGTGAGAGCAAGAGCAAGAAATAGGTTAGCTGGGGACAGGCTGTGAGTCCCAGTCACCCTGCAGAAACATGTGAGCTATTAATTGAGTGTTCTGTTAATATCATAGCGGCCTATGAAATATTCAGCTCCCTAACTGAGTTATTAAATGAGATCAACTTGCTGAGTAGCATGTTACCGATTACATTTATTCCCTGTTTTTCACTTGAATTTCAAGTGCAGAATTAACCCACAATGATCTCAGGAGCCTAAGAAATATATGACTTTAATCATTCTTTCCTCAGGTATCATAGACAGATTTAGCATGAGGAAGCCAGTGATTATATTTTTGGAGTGAGAAATACATCCCTAGATAAGGATGCATTTTTCTTTCTTTACTTTCTCATTTAAAAGTATTGTCTGCTGGGAGGCACAGCACGGCCAGCCTGTCTTGGCTTTGAAACCTGCTAAAACGTTCCTCAACCATGAACTTGAGATAGTAGTTAGAGTAAATTATTGGAATCTCTATAATGTATTATCAGTAAGAACTGTACCTTTGAAAAAGTTTAAAAGTTAAGTATATTTAATGATGCCTAACATATTTTATTGGCTGTGTTTAACAAAAGGCACTATGCCGCAGTTGTTTTTGACAAGCATGAAAACATCACAGCATGAGACTGCAAAAGGAATTATGGAGAGAAATTACAAGTGATCCATCTCTCAATGAATTATCCACCTCAATAGCCCGCAGAACTCAGCTACCAATTAACACCTACTTTATTACATGTTGGGATGTACTTAATAACTTTCATGTGTTTATGCACTATTACCTTGACTGATGCCTCTTGTACAATTAGGCATAATTGGCATATCAATATGCAAAAGTTAAAAGGATTAACCCTCTTAAAACTAATGAGCATTTCTGTATCCAGCTGCTAAATGAGACAAAATTAGCATTTTTCACTTTTGGGCAGGATTTTATCATGCAGTTTCTCATTGTTGATATTACCTTGTTACATAACTTTAGTTTGGGGGGTTATATGCTGGACTGCTAGAGAATCAGAGTTTTCCAAAGTTAAATTAGCTATAATTATCCCAGCTTTTGTTTCCGCATTCTTAGTTAGCCTGGGCAATATGTATTCCTCGATAAGGAACAAAAATAAAAGTTACTTTTGGTTATGCGTGCTCAGTGCATAATTATATAAAAGGGGTATTTTAGTGAGGATATGTCATTTCACCGAGAAAACTTGGCTCAGAGATACTGTATTGAAAGCTTGCCATGGCACTAATTTTCTTTCTGTCTCAGTTCTTTTCATCTCTTTTTTCCATGCACAATTTTCTGACTAGATACTGACAGAATGTAAAGTATTTTGGCATATTTATTCAAACAAGCCTGTTAAAGATATCTGCTCAAGCTAAACTAAGAACTTGATTTTTCAGAAGTTGGAGGTTGGGGTGAGGTCAAGGGGGGAGATTTTGAACTTAGGAGAAGTGGAAGGAGATGTATAGTAAAAATGCATTCACAAGTTCACATGTAGCATGGTTTGCTGTAACAGAAACATACATTTAATGTGTACAGAAAAAAATTAAGAGTACTTAGAGACTATATATGTATCATTCATCCTATTTAATATATATGGCATATATATATACTATTTGTCACTGGCATATCAATTATGCAAATCTAATATAGACTTTATTGGAGTATATAATAACAAGAATCTGATATTACACTAATATGATTTAACTTATTACAAGAAATAATAAAAAGATTCTAGGGTCACATTAATTATATAATTTTGTCATTAATACATAAGTTCCTCTTTTAAAATTTTGCTTAATTAAAAATATGTTTAATATGAATGTGAACTCAGAACACAACATAAAATTCTTCTATATATACAATGAGCCTATATTCTTGGTAACTTAAATTGAGGAGTATTTTGAAATGCCAACATAAACATTTATTCGACCAGAAGCTATGCAAGCACAGGTGAATTTACTTGTTGAATTAAAAGTTTTGATTTCCTAAGTGCTGCAGGGAAGCATTCCAGTAAAACAGGTATCAATACTCCATTAGTATTTTATTGGTAGTATGCATCATTTTCTTTAAACACCAAATAATCATTTTTATGTGGTTAATAAGATCAATGCCTTTTCAAAATTGAAAGAGACCATTTTGCTTCCTAAGAAACATTGAAGAGGTGGAAAGTTTGGATATAGAATGACATGGTTAGAAAGAAAATTGCGCATCTGTGAGAGTGATCTGGAAAGCTTCATTTGGTAGGGAGGGAACGCTCTTTGGTCTCAGTGATTTGTTGTCTCACCCTGGGCACTGGAGTGAGACCTCTTAAAGGTGAACTGTGATTTACCCGAATGTGCTAAACACAGAAGCAGAAGGCTTAGTTAACATTAATGGGGGTAAGTAAACTGTGCCTCTTTAAGGGCTAAAAAAGCTAAAATGCAATCCAGCAAATTGCTAACACAAAAGGTTTAATGTGGCTTTGATGTTATTTATAAGAGGGATGCCCAGTCTACCAGACAGTTTAGAATAGATATTAATGAAGAGTTTAAATAGCCCAAGTCAGGAAACTGCAGGCATAGGATTTGCAGGCAGGAGCAGTTCCAGCATTTAATACTGGTGTCTTAAACAGCAACATATATGAATATTCACCATTTCCATCATGTAAACCCCACAAAAGTGCATCACTCCATTCTTGGCTATTGTGGACAGGGAAATGTTTTTTCATTAGTGTTCAGATAAAGACTTGGGTCATGTCATTCCTAAACATTAACATACAAGACTCCTTTTGCTTCTCTTCCCAGACAGTGCTCTTTCATTTTTCTTTTTAATATATTATAAGGAAAAAGAGGAAACAATTTTCTTTTGTTTCTTACTTCTGTGATTATAGGATACTTGCCAAAGTTGTGGCTAGCTAAAAAGGCAGACATAAAAATTGCTACTAAAAATATAAGCCTTCTGTTTAGCAGAGATTTTGAGAAATATTATGAGACTATAGGACTTGTCCATGTTTACTTCAGATCAAGCTTATAGTTAGGTTTGAGGCTTTGTTTGTATAAATTGTCCTGAAGTGGATCCTGATATTTAATTAAAATGACACTAAATCACATTGAATTGATAAGACTTGGCATCTCAAACAAAGGTAATTGCCCGTATTGGTTTTGTGCAAAAATAGCGCTGCTTGGAAAATGTGCAGCCAACACAGACTGTCAACTCCATTTATAGATCAATATGTGAAAACCATTGATCAGGCAGGCATGTATAACAGTAACACTTTGCATTTATTTGTTGTTTTTATACCACATTAAGGCTTACAGGATTATAGGCTTCCTAAATATTTTGACTTCCTCATAAATATATGATCTGTTGCATGTTAATTAAATGAGAGTCTGCAGCCATTTCTAAAATTGTTTTTAGTTTGATGATTTCCTTTTATTGCTGTGGATCATATGATCTGAAAATGGATTAGTTTCTTTCTGCATAAAGATTATTAAAGCTTATTTTAATGTGTCCTATTTACTGTAAGATGTGGCTGCCTTTTTGCTTTGAAAAATATAGATACAGACAATTATTTTCTGTTAGTGAGTGGCTGATCTTTTTTATTAACTGGGCATTCTCAGTGCTCAGGGTAGAATTATTTCTTGACATATTTTGGACACCCTGTAGATAATGGGTCTTCTTGATTTCTCCTGATAGAATTTGTTTTCTTTCTTTTTTATCTAGCTCTGTACTACAGGCATCTGATCAAACATTATGTAGAAAATAAACTGATCAACTCAATTAAATTCTAGACACACACAAATATAATTTGAATTCTGTTTTTCTCATTCGAGAACAAGCCTCATGAACTGCTCTTATACACCGCCTTCTGCAGTTAAATCTTTCTTATCTCATCAGTGTAAGGACAGTGTTTTGTTCCTAATCTTTATTGAACTATTGTGGATGACATTTGTAAGCCATTTTGGTTTATAAGGAAAAGCTGGAGGACAGTGAAGTGAGACTCTCCATAGATCCAAACCTCAGATATGACTACGCAATAATGTGTCTTCCACTGCAATTTTCTTTGCCACTGAGAGGTCAATTTTGTTGAGAAATCTTTTTATATCTTCTATATACATTAGGAGTACTGCTTTCAAGACAATACTTGGTTTTATATATGGTATTAAAACAATAAAAGAAACACAATTTCAGAAATAGAAAAAAAAAAACCCAAGAAAGAAAGGAATCAT